CTCGATGATTACAGGACACGTACGTGGATTAACCAATTAGCATTAATGACGTGCTCGTTCCAAGTACTGCTATACATAAATCTTCCAAAACGGCAGAACGGAGTATTTTACTATATGTAAAAGTACCGGTGTTGTATACAATGGTAATCATGTGTATGCATACAAAACCTCACTCATGTGTGTGTGTTGTTGTGTCTGTGTGAGGTGTGAGGTGTGGTTGTGAGCGTAGTGTGTGGAGGTGTGGGTGCGTGTATGGGTGTACACAAACACACACAATCATACACATATACCTAACAAACCACTAAATATTCGCGTATTTTAACTGTCTCTCTACATATTCAAACTTAAATCACTAATTTTACTTTCACAGATTCCCGATATATCAAGTAATATCTCCACAATGGCAGCCATGATGTGAAAGCTACTAAGAAAAAAATGCCTTCAGTTTTACACCCAAGGCCTCTCGCAAACATCCCGCTACCATGATAGAGAAAATGTAAATTAAAACTTAGCCAGTGGACCAGACACAAGACTTAACAATGTCGGGGTCGGTAGGAGTTCCTGTACTGCTTGAGGGCGGGGGAGCTCCGCATCTGATACCTGATGACGGGCTGGCTGGTAGCAGCGTGGATGGTGTGGTCTGGCTGGACCAGGCCTCTATACAAGATTTACCCCTCGAGTTGGGCTCCATTCACGTAGACATACACGATGTGGTTATAAACACGGATGTAGTTCTTCAGCAAACACCGCACGGAGATAGACAAAGTCCCCCTACTCCAACCAACACCACAAGCAGTATAAGTAGCATCGAACAAATCAACGATACAAGGGAGATTATCCCCGCTGCTCTATCCCCATGCCCGGAAGACGTGTTCACGCAGACCACTCCGGATAAATCAACAAGGAATCTACTACAAAGACAAACCGAGGTTGATGACACCTACGACCATTCCCAAGAAACCTTCGACCCGTTTCCCATCAGTAAAAACCCGCGGCTGGGCAAGATTGGCGCCAGGCTGTCGTCGGGTAGAGGGTACAAGGCGATGGCGTCCTGTGACGTGACAAGACACCGGGCTCACAGCGAGCCCACGCCGAAGACCACCAAAACCAACTACCGCAGCAGGAGTATGGAGGTCCCTCCTATCACAATAAAAATAGAGGACGAGACTAACCAAGATGAGACAGTAAATCAACACGACTTGATCCTCGAGTCCACCACAACACAATTTATCCCCGAAAACGACGTCATGATCGTGGACGACTCCCCCGTCAGTGAGCCGGGCGTCAAAACAAGAAGCCACCCTTCCTCCCCGGTGCCGTACGGCCGTTTATCCCTACCGGTCAACTGCGCCCAGAGGCAGCTAATGATCCGCAGCGTAGGCAGGTCAGCAGGGAACAAGCTCAAGTGCAGCTACAGCTTGGACGTGCCGGGGTCCGAGGACCGGAGACTGAGCCGCAGCCTCAACACGCTGGTGCCCAACGCCCAGAAGCGTCCGGAGCGGCGAGAGCACCAGGTGCAGGTGGTGGAGGACAAGCTCATCTCCAGCAGCATGTCCAGGCTGGACGGGGCCGCGGGGCAGCGCAGGTTGAGCTGGACACCGGGCAACTCGCCCAGGGGGAGCTTCCAGGGGAGGGTCGAGGAAGGTAAGTGATGCCAGGTTTAAACATTCTAAGTTTCAGTTACACATTACATCTTCTTAATCCCGTTCGTGCCCAAGACACATGGGGCAGATGAAGTAGAGTTAATCTGATTCATTGACCTCGGCATATGAAGGGATATTGCGGTCAAGGACGTTTCAGCGATTCGAACTCGAATATCTCGGGTTAGCAGTCTAGCTCTCTACCGCTAAGGCCACGCCGTCCCTACACTTTACATCATAGTGGGTAAATTGGGTGACTTACATATTTATACTTATATTTCACGAAACGTACCAGTGAAGTAGGCTACGACAAGTTTACACATTCATTTTAAAGTTCCACATAAAGTACCAGTGGTGGGAAGATGGCTATGACAGATTTACATATTTATACTTATCTTTCAAACTACATACCAGTGGACAAAAAGGGGTAAGGCGGGTTTATTTTCAGAATTTATTAATTAATGTAATGCTAAGCCCACTACTAGCTTGAAACATGCAACGAAACCCTTAATTTTGCTCAAAAGGTTCTTTTTAATAGTTCTATTTTTCATTTTCTTAATGAATATATTTCCTAATTGAATTACATCGTTAAAAGACAACCCATCGCTTAATTTTTTTTTATTTTTATTAAACAAGCTTTAACCAATATTGTATCCACTATAATAAACAGCCAATCGTAATTATACAGCAGTAAGTTTCGCTAATTTAAAAAAAATAGTGACTTCTCTCGACTCATACTAATACTTAGCATACCTCACAATATGTTAATGTCAACTAACTAAATACTTTCTCTAATCATGACGACACCCGAGGGCAATGGACTGAATAATGGAAGGGAGAGGGGGAAGAGAAAGGATGTACTGATGACAGAAAAGCCAATAACGACAATCGCCTTAATATACAAGTCCACTGAGGGGAAAATGAACATCCATTGCGACGTTATAGCCGTTACTAGGGACATATATTGCGACGTTATAGCCGTTACTAGGGACATCTATTGTGATGTTATATCTGCTTCTAGGGACTAGGGACATATATTGCGACGTTATATCCGTTACTAGGGACATATATTGCGACGTTATAGCCGTTACTAGGGACATCTATTGTGATGTTATATCTGCTTCTAGGGACTAGGGACATATATTGCGACGTTATATCCGTTACTAGGGACATATATTGCGACGTTATATCCGTTACTAGGGACATATATTGCGACGTTATATCCGTTACTAGGGACATATATTGCGACGTTATAGCCGTTACTAGGGACATCTATTGTGATGTTATATCTGCTTCTAGGGACTAGGGACATATATTGCGACGTTATATCCGTTACTAGGGACATATATTGCGACGTTATATCCGTTACTAGGGACATATATTGCGACGTTATATCCGTTACTAGGGACATATATTGCGACGTTATAGCCGTTACTAGGGACATCTATTGTGATGTTATATCTGCTTCTAGGGACTAGGGACATATATTGCGACGTTATATCCGTTACTAGGGACATATATTGCGACGTTATATCCGTTACTAGGGACATATATTGCGACGTTATAGCCGTTACTAGGGACATCTATTGCGACGTTATAGCCGTTACTAGGGACATCTATTTCGAAGTTGTATCCATTACTAAGAACTAGGGATATCTATAGCGACGTTATAGCCGTTATTAAACTTTAAAGATATCTACTGCGACGACGTAACAATTACAGTAAGTTAATAGGAACATCCACTATTACGTTACATAGTTACTTAGTTACTAGAGACACCCATCGCTATGCAACATGCTTTACTAACAGAAACACATGTACTAATACGTTGGTCATTCAGAATTTAAAAAAAAAAACATGTAATACCCTATTGCTATCAAACCCGAACATTAGAATTACAAAAACACAAAACATGGAATTCCCTATTGTTATTGTTGTCAAATCCGAACCACAAATTCAGCTTTAATTTATTTTTTTCTGACATTGCCCCATGTCAAGTTTGAATGGAGATTAAATGTATGCACCCATCGTCTTAGATTACATTTCAAAGGCTAAGTAAAAAAAAAAACTAAACACCCTGCAGAGGATTTACAAAAAACCTTGATAAACAAAGACGGTTGCCAAGAGCAACGGGGGACGCCAAGGATATCAGCACTGATGAAGATGCAAATGACGGACGCCATTTACAAAAAAATCCCATACAAAAGGAAGGAAATTCTTTACGAAACAAATATTTCGTGATGAAGAAGATTTCAGAATCGAAATAAAACGAACTACAATCGAGAGAAAGACAGAGAGAGAGGCCAGGGATGGGAAAGGGGGGGGGGGGGGTAAATCTTGACATAAAAGTGTCAAGTAGGGCTTGGCGATTATTTTTTTTTAATTATCACGAACGGGTGAGTGGCTTAGTGCCTAATCCTCCTGACGTACGGATGCCATGTGCGGATTGTCAAAGATGTTGACATGAGCTTTGTCATGTCCATTGCACCTAATATTACAACTGTCTTTTTTTTAATGTCACAAAGAATCCGAATCAGAAAGACAAAAATGTCACCTTAAAGAGGGGACTTAATTCAGTACTGGAGTATGTTTAAATGTCGAATAGATGTTTTGTTTTTATACATGACTTATATATAGTTGTAAAAAAGCAAATCTTGAACAAGACAATCATAACTTATTTGAAAATTTGAAAACTTAGAATACAGCAGTCCAAACACAAAGCATATGTCTACTATACACCATTCCCCAAGATTTACTTCAGTATTATCAGAAGTCATGTTAGTACTGTATGTAAAACTATCCATACAATGTACCCTGATAAGTTTAAACTTCAACTCAATACTTATATTAGCCCTGAATATATCAGAACTTTGCATACATGAAAAAGACTCGCTCAAAATAAGCTTTTGAGGATATTTACAGTAAGGTTACTTGAATATTATACATAATGAATCATATAGGATAAAAATTATAATTAAATAAAACATCAACCCACCACTATGATCACATAAATGGCCCAAAACATAGACATTTTAAAGAAACAACAAAGCTACAATTTTTTTAAACAGTAAGAAACAGCTTTTAAATGAGTGTGCAGTATGTTCTGGTTGATAAAAAAAAAATTCTTAATCTCAAAATGTTATTTTTTCAACACTGTATTCATGCAATGTACCCTAGTAACAGGTGGTAAAAATTGTTAGTTGTGGTTATTTCCGTTTCTCTCATGTAACAGCATGCATGGGTCTTATAGTTTTCTGGCTAAGTTGCGCTCTATAATTTTAGAACCACTCTTTATTTTATTAATTTATTTAAATTTTCAAAACCTGAAATGTCCAACACATTTATGTATAAACTGCTTACCTCTTCTGGAGTCTTGCCAGTGCAGGTTCTTGATTCATAGTGTTTATCTCCCTTTGAAGATATAAAAAAAAATCATTTATTGTTAAATTCAGCAATAGTTTTATTAAATAGAAGACAAAAGTTTTTAAGTAAAACCTGGTAATGAGATTAAAAACGAAAGAAGATTACAGACTAGCTATATAAAATTAATCTAGCTAAAAAATATTCTTATTTCTTTACTTCTGAAATACATTTAGAGCTGTCACTTGAGGGATGTTAAGATTTAATTTTTTTACACATATTGTGCATAATTATACCCAAATATTTCAGTCTCTATTAACAAGAATTTTATTTATGGTTAAAAGCTTGTTTACAGCATGAATGAAACATATTGTAATGGTAATTATAATATTTATTCTGGTACTTCAAATCTTTATTGGAATTGCAAGGGTTTTTACATATCGCTTCCCTTAGGCCAGATTTTCCGACTTTACTTGTCAAAAATGTTCACAAGAAGGTTTTAAAGTTTTATTTTCCCTAACATTTCAATATTAAGTTGAAATTTAAATAGTTAAATAATATTAGTGTGAGATAAGGCCACAAAATTTTTCACCATGATGCCGTGGTAGATTTAGAACACAATGTTGTATACAATTTAAAAAAATGAAAAATGAAGTTAGAACAGTTTGGTTCGAAGGAAGCGATATATTTGTAGCTCACCTTTCTAATGTTGAAAACCATATGTTTGTTGAAGTTTCGAATGCAGGCCTTGAAGCTGACTAGAAAAGCCACAATATCAACCATTCCCTTCTCACTAGCAAAATGTAAGGGGGTCTTATTGGCCTAAGAGAAAAATGTATGAAACAAATATCTAGAAAAGACATCAAAATAAATCTATGAAATAAATATCTAGAAATGACATTTAAATAAATCTATGAAACAAATATCTAGAAAAGACATCTAAATAAATCTATGAAACAAATATCTAGAAAAGACATCTAAATAAATCATTCTGTAATTCAAACCATAAGTATTAAATAAAATTTTAGCTAGCAATAAACATAAGCCTTGGGAGATACTTTGAATGTGCCCTAAAGGAATAAGCTGTTTTAAAATAGGTACTACAACATTTTACAAAGTTTCTTTTTGTTCTGCCAATATTCCTTTCTATAACTGTCAGGATTTGTATTAGTGCTGGCAGTGATTACAACACATACAAAAATAACTAATACTGCCTTGCAAGAGAACATGAATATATTCTAAATGCTGCGACATGAGTAGTGAGATGTTTATGGGAGTTTTAGTCGCTTCAGAAAAAAATATTTAGAAGCATATGATCTTAACTAAATTATACTGAAGCTAATCTAAATGTAAAAAAAAAAATAAGAAACATATTATACTAATATAAATGTAAAAAAATAAACATACGATCTTTACTAATTGTACTGACACTAATCTAAATCTTTAGCCTAGATCCCAGCTAGAGCTGTCAGGGTATTTTTGAAACCTATAGATGTTTTACCGCAAGTTCACAATAAAGCTACCTTTCAATTCACAAATGTAGATATGAAAGCTAGAGCGGCAAAGCAAATACTCACTGATTTATCAGGTGTGTTCAGATACAAATCCACAAGTCTTTTAGAGTTTTCTTTCAATTCACTGTGAACTGAAAGAAAAATCTAAAAGACTTTAGAGTTTTCTTTCAATTCACAAATGTAGTAATGAAAGCTAGAGCGGCAAAGCAAATACTCACTGATTTATCAGGTGTGTTCAGATACAAATCCACAAGTCTTTTAGAGTTTTCTTCTGCACGCTGCTGGGTGCCATACATTCGCTTCAAGAACTCTATATCACTAACCATCTCCATCACCAACTGGCAAGACTCTATCTGCCCAGCGATGACGCTGGAATGCATAGCATTGTAGCGGGTTCCTTCCTGAATAATAAAAAATACAAATCTCTTTACAAATTAATATATTGTTAATATCCAACTGGCTTAGCATGAATTAAAAATTTTAACAAAAGAAAAAGGTTATGTTTAGTTTTAAAATTTCACCAATATGAAAGGAAGAGGTTAAAAAATAATGAATGAAAAACACAACTACTGATTAATTTTAAGTTAATGGATAGATTTTTAAAATTATACTAATTTTAAGATTGTTGGCAAATTCTAATGACATAATATTTACTATCGAGTGATTTAAAGTTGATATATTTTTAAAATTGGTAAGTTTGAACAACAAATACAACTACTGATTGATTTAAAGTTAACTTATATAATTTTACAATCATAGTACCTTCAAGATTGTAGGCATGTCACCATTGCCGATCAGGAACCTGGGGTTGCCCAGAATCTTTTCACGGCAAAAATTAATATTTCCCTTTTCTAGTTGTATCCTGAACTCATTGATCTGTGACTGTGCCAGAGATGGGAACAACTTGACCTCACCTGATTCTACTTCTGCTTTTTCCTTCAAATTTTAAATATGATAATATATATTAAACTCTGAAGGCAACTTCTAAAAGAATGTTTCTTTTTAAAAAAAAGTAATTACCTCAAATCTCATAAAAGTTTTTAAAAATAACTATTTGTAAGACATTTAGTGATAGAAAATTATTAAAGCTAGATTGAAGATAAATCAGAAACAAATTAAACGTTTTTAAAGAAATTTTAATCTAATGAGTTTATTATTTACAGGCTATGAAACAAAGCTAAGCCCAATCTTTTAAAAGCAGAAATTTAGTTTGGTAGGCCTAGGGATATTCTTTTTAAAAAATGATATTGTAGCTTTATATAATAAATAATTAATAATTACATTTTAACTACTTTTTCTGAAAATTAATTTAGCAGTAATATATATTCTTTTTAAAAAACAACTTAAAAAAAAACATTAGAACAACTGAGAGCTGAAAACAAAACATACCAGTGGGTAATTAGACTTGATAGTGGCCCCATCACAAACTTCGTTGGCAGAGTTCTGCTCAGCAAAGTTTTCAGCTTCAGCCAAATTACGAAAAGACAACATCCGAGGGTTGAGTAGTTTATTTTCTTTCATTATTTTCAACACCTCCCTGAAGTCACTGTGTACTGTTATGGCGTTAACTAAAACAGAGAAAAGAGTTAAAGGGGATAATATCACTAAGGTACAAAACTTTAAAACAAAATACAAACACGTCAGATACAAACAAGCACTTTAACACCTTTAAGCCAAATTTCCTATTTTAAGTATTGTAGAGCCATTAAAAAATGTACAACTGCCATTTTTCTGCAACAGTCTAAACAGCTGGATTTAGCTTTCTAAACTGGAAAATTCTTCCAAAAACAAATTCAAAATAACCATTCTCAGCTTTAATAACTGAAAATGGACCATGTGAAAAAAAAAGGATTTTTTTCTTTTTAAATCTCAAATTGTATTGTTTAAATGAAATGTTTTCTGATATTTATATTACATTAGCCAGGTGTAATTTCTCTCATTAAAACTTTTTCTATCACACCTCTTGCTGGTAAAATGCTCAGACTGTTACTACATGAATTAAGTTTTTAGAATCAGAAGGTACTGGAATGTGTCAATTTTAAATCCCAAAGCAAAAGGTGAGCAATTATAATTATAACAGATTAATTAAATGAAATAACTGTCAATTTGAACCTGGTGATAAAGAATGAAATCACAATTAACCAAAATAATAGATTGTACTGAAAGGATACACATTAAATGATTAATAAGCGAGAATACTGACAGAGAATTTAAAACCAAAAAATCTCAAATAATGAAATCTATGTATTTAAAAGTTACAGATTAATTAGCCAAAGTCAGCTTTATTCAAAAATCCATTAATGTAAAAAAGTATTCAAACTTCATTTTTTTTTAAAAATTATGTTTACCTGAGCCAGGAATGCAGACAGCATAGTGAGTTTTGTTTGATTCTTCCAGACACAAGGACAGAGTTTCCTTGGCTTCCTGTAGATTTCTGCGCATTTCTGTTGTGCTTGTGTTGTTATTGCTTTCTGCTGATGGCGTCACACTATTCTTTTGGTTTTTACTGTCTTTTGCGTCTCTTGTTTCTAAAATTTTAGTTTGTGTTAAATTAGATTTTAAATGTGCAATTTGATTTTTATCAATTGCAAGTGTATTAGCATTAAAGGATTGGGTTGTTTAAGATCAGGTTTTAATCATTTAATATTTACATTCAAATTTTTTTTTGGAGAGAAAATGTAGAGAATACAATTAGAATAAAATTAACGCTTAGTAAAACAAACAAATGATGTCATACAATATGTTATAGCTTAAAGTTATGAATAAAACCTAAATGTTCACATTTAATAACTGCAGTATAAAGTATTGTTTCTTAAAATCAACTTCTAATATCATACATAAATTTAAAAAAAAAAAAAACTTGTTAGAAATATTAATTTCCCTTGCTTATAGCATACATTTGAGAAATGCTCCAACTACTGCCTTAGTGGCTCACACATACAAATATTACTAGCTTACCGCAAGCAATTGTTTCCCCATCAACACCAAGAATTTTCTGAGCCAGTTTCTTAATTACAACTTTTTTAGTATGCGAGGTAAGTGGAACATTTTCAAGGCCATGTTCAACAAGAAGTTCTTTCAGCTGAATATCATTATAATTTCTGGACAATTCTTCAACTTTTGTTTCAATTTTTTTAGATAATTCACCTAATTTTGATGAGCTGTAGATAGATGAAAATCATTAGACTACAATTAGTCAACAAAGCACATTTTTAATTGTTTTAATCCAAATGTTCAGAAACCATAATTGAAATAATGTTAAAAATTTAAGGTTCTTAAATCCTTTTCAATAACAAGAATTGTTGAGTCTCTCCTTCTAACTATCAATATAAAAATTATTGGGTACATTTACATTATATTCATATCATATTAGAAATATGTGTAAAGGAAGGAAAATATTTATAAAATGGCAAATTATCTTGATTAATTACTATGACAAATCTCTGCTACAAAGTGTTCAAAATTGGTGCACCAGTCCACCAGAGCATTTTATTACAAAAAAGGGTTTTAATCAATTTACTAAACTAAAATATTTAACATTTACATTTATAATAAATATATATTTCTAAGTCGTGCTTTACTAGTAAAAACAAAGTGGGGGTGATCTACCCTAAACTTTCTCATCTATGCTTAAATAACAATAAGGGTTTGGGATGGTATTAATTAAGCACTTGCAGTATAATCGGTCTATAGATTAAAAATATAAAAGTCAGTGACAAAAGCTGCTCAAGTTTTGAGAAAGCACATAATGGTAAAAAGTTCTTTGAATATGCTGCTTTAAATTTAAAAACTATGTAAATAATCAAAGTCTTACACTTACAGTTTTTGAGAAATCAAAAATAGCATAAAATACTACTTCCAGTCACTGGATATTACTCAAAATGTGTATGAAGCCACTGCATAAGATCTTATTGCTATACATAACATGTTGCCCACCTAACTGATACAGTCCTTAAGTTATCATTCATTTAGACAGGAAATCAAAGTGCCTGATCCGGTGATCACTCAAAAATTAAAAGTAAACCATGTAGGCCTATACTTAGTATACTATAAGATCTTAACCTTGTAGATCTATATGAAATTTCATCTACCTAACTAAAACATTACTAAAGTTACAGTATTCACATTGAAATAGAGTTGTTAGAAACCTGTGCACTCAATTTAATAATTACATGTGAAATTTCATCTACTTAACTTTAAAAGTAAGCAAGTTATTGGCTTATGGGCTTTAAACAAACCAGAAGTATATTCTTATAATTCATATGGACCTAGAAAACATAATCTTTAAAGTGTTATAATATGATGGGTCTTTTTCTGTCAGGATTATTATAATTATAGGTAGGCCCAATAGATCTAGTATTAGCTAGGCCAATGCCGCTGCCGAGAAAATCGGACAAATCGGCTTTTCCCTACCCCTTGCATGTTTAACTCTGTTTTTTGCATGTTTTTATTGTGTTTATATTAACATGTTATACATCATTCTGTTCGTAATTGAATAACCTTTTTAACTGTATAAGTTTGATTTCTGTATTATTTCAGACGTTGAAGAAATCGGCGATTAAATCGCATTTTTTACCCTCCGCGGCGACGTGCCGATTAGGGGGGAGGCTTTTTCACCTTTTTAAAAGGGGGGTGTTACTTGGAGTCTATAGACTCTGTGAGTTTTCGTACTAAAACTGTGAAACTTGGTAGAAGAATAGATTAAATGTACACGTATAACGCTCAGGGTTCTTGGTTAAAATATGTTAAATACTTTCGGAGATATCAGACCGCAAAGTTAAACTAAGTTATTTGAGCTATTTATGGATCGATTTTTTATTTGAACCCTGAGCTGTATTCCTGAAATCTCGACGTTTATTAATATGTATCATATGTCCTATAAGGCCCTATAATAAGGACGTCTATAGACTTTGAAATGGACCGAAAATATAAACACGACGCGCCGACCGCTGTTCGACTGAACCGCCCTGCTGTGCTTCGAATCGCCGTCTTTAGCCTGATGACGCGTTACAAAATTTGTATACACGTATCGAGTTTACGTACTACAACAGTTAAATTTGGCAGACGAATACATTAAATGTAGACGTATAACGATCAGGGTTCGTGGTCAAAATAAGTTAAATACTTTTGGAGATATCGGACCGCAAAGTTGAACCACGTTTCCCGGTCTATTATTGGACATATTTTACATTAGAACCCTGAGCCGTATTCCCGAAATCCCGCCGTTTATTTTAATGTATGACATGTATTATAGCACCTCGTAATAAAGCCGTCCATACATTTTAAAACCGAACGAAAATAAAAATTAACGCGTCGGCCGCCGTCCGACTGATTGGTGATCTACACATCGTGTGGCACAGCCGAGTGTGTGGTCACGTGACGCTAGGCGCTTGATCCGATTGGATGATACTATAAACAATGTCTAAAGATAGATACATGTGTTCCCGTGTTTGACTCGACGGCTATTGCTACTTTATATTTATAAGCACACAGACATGTGGCATAACTTTGTCTTAACCCATTGAAACGTCAAACAAAAGCTTTGTTAGTTTATACGGCTGAGGACCAATCGTCAAAATGAATCTTCATTAGAAATTAATCCGAATAGCTTCGGCACGATCAAACAATGCTGTGATGTGATTCGCGTAACGTTTCATTATTGTGTACATTACATTTTCGTAAAAATGGCTTTAAAAATAAATTAAATTATATCCGGGGCTCTTTTCTACAAATTTTAATACCACTAACAACGTGGGGGTTACTAGCTTGCCAAATCGACCAAAATGGGGTGGGGTGGATGGGGGTAGCAACTGACCATCCTACACTGTTTGTAACACCCATAGCCTCACCCCGCCCACACTAGTCCGTGACGCGACAAGCCGACGAGCATCGCTTTTGATGTTGTGTAACACCCGTACGGTACACGGTGGTTTCATACCCCACCACCCTCCCCCTTCACTTTGTGGAGTTGATGTTACTAACCCTCGGGCATAGATCAGGAAATCTTGCCAGACTTTTGTCTCTGAGATTACATAATATTCATCTGACACGTTCATCGGGTTGGCCGACTAGCCTATCCAGCGGTCGACTAGCCTATCCAGCGGTCGTGTTTACGTAATAGGGCAATAAAATTCGTTGGTCAGAAGACCTGGTTACCCACATGTCTGATTGAACTAAATCTAGGCAAAAGCTGGTGGTGGTACACGTGTCTGTGTATAGCCAAACACGGTAGTCTTACACAATTTCTAGAATCTACTAGATCTACACAGTCAAGCACTCAATCACGTGCTTTTTTCTTAAGAAAGTTGTTAATTGTAAAAGGCCTACTGGTAGGCTTACAAAATACATAAACCTACTTACTACTAGCATAAACATTGGGCATAGATATAAATTTATGTTATATATCTATAACTTAACTATATCTTGTGCAAGTTTAAAAAAAAAATTTTTCCTCCAAAGTTTATTTTATTGACATTGTAAAAATGATTAACTTTAATATGGGTAATAATATTACGTAATTACCATAAAGCACACTCTGATTCTGATCAGACACATTTGTAACTAGACTAATTCTATAGTAAAAAGGATTAAGATATTTAAAATAACAAGAAATATAATTATAATGAGATAGGCCTTTATTTTTGGAATAGAGTAGGCCTATAGTATTGCACATAGATTACATAACATCTTTTAAGAAGTTACATAATCACAAATTTACTATAGCATTCTTCTCTTTGTATTGAAAAACTTGATTAGTTATATTTCTTCTAGATCTAGTAGGCTATTAACTTGAAGTTAACTGACAATGAGCAAAAGTGATTTTAAAACAAATTCATGGTATATTTTGAGCAAAGGGTGGGATTACATAACCTTACATTTGATAGTTATGTAACAATGTTGGACCATTTTAAATCTACCATTAGCTTGAGCATATACAAATGTCATATTTTAGATTAAAACAGCGTTACATTTAAAGAATGACTTCTTATCACATTGATTATTATATGTTTAAAAAAAAATTGAAAGGGGGGTATTACATAATCTATGAGATTAGTAGGTTGAGTAATCGAAGGACACTTTTTAAAATAGCATCATTGGATTCAGCATACAAAAATCTATAAAATGTCTTAAAATTACATCAATTGATAAAGTATTCTGGCTTTTATACCACTTTTAGTGAAAAACGCTTAAAAATTTGGTCCATACCCTCCCAGTATTTTTCCTCTTTCAGGGTCTATCCCGTTTGTCTGAAAAAACTGCTGTTTTTTAATGACTAAAAAATTCATAACTTTTTTGTTTATGGTCAGATTTTGAAAATTCAAACTGATCTGTAATCAGATTGACAGCCCCTATCCAAATATGTAACTATTATATTGTTTTACTGAAATTAAATTTTTGCATTGGCCTAGCTACTAGTATAATTTCATAATTCAGAAATAGTTTAGTCTGCAACACTTAGTCTAAATGTAGGCCTAATTAATAATTATAATGAATTTTTGTTCTTACTTTTTTATCAGTTAGCCTATGGCCTATAATACTATTTAAAATTGTAAGTAATGTTTTAAGGCTTTTAAACTTTTAAGGCCTATCCTTTTGCATTTTCCCTACCCAGAATAAATTTTATTTGTATGATGGTGGAAGTTCAATAAATCTGGACTAGGTCTAAATCTAACTTAATAAATAAATTTAGCCTCTGGCAAATGGTAAAGTAAAATAAAAAATTATTTATTGTTGATCTGTTCAGTTCAGTGTGACTGTGTCAGTCAGTTCATGAAGACGAAGAAGAACCTATTCTAGTAATTCTAGATCTGAGATCTAGATCTATCTCAATCTAACTATTAAGTCAGTAAAGACGAGTGGTGACTAATCAAGTTCTCTCAGGCCTTTAGTATTATAGATGATCTAATAATAGTCTACATCAGATTTGACTCACTCTCCGAATTCACCACAAGTGAAACTGCAGAATAACAGCTGAGAAAACGTCCGGTGAGTAGTGACTAAGAACTAAGATATTTAAGGTTGCCATAAAATATTGAATGACTAGATCTACACATTTTTAAAGAAATATAAACGATTTCGGCATAAACATAGTTAAAATGCTTAGAAAACACTGTTAAGCAGCTTCTAGAGATAGATTCTACAGCGACATGAAAAATCAATGCAATACTTACAATTGTTTATCATCAGCCATTTTGAATCTCTTCGGAGTTGACATTTTGTTACAAGCGATTTGATTGGCTTGTAAGAAAAACGCATGTAAAATTTGAATTGATAAAATGATTGATCTTGAAAAAAAAAAACTATAACAATGTTGAGTGAACATAAAGATCTGGATCTAGATCTATATTCAAGATCTGATCTTTAATCATTCAATACGTAAACGTATTTAATAGTTTTGCGATAAACCATTTTTAATAATCATAATCATTTTTTTCATCACTGCCAACTTCTTTCAAAGTGTCTAGACAAGGAATAAGAAATAATAGACAATAATAATTTATAATAGACATCGATCTATTAATTTCTGATTGGAGAAGTTTTTAACAGATTTAATGTTAAACATAGCGATATAAATATGGTCAGCCTTAATTAAAAGATAAAGCAAATTACTAGACTACTAAGAGTGGGAGGAAAGAGTATGCCTACATCATTAATTAAACTCAAACAATGCGGTAAAGATGTTTATAAATTAAAACTACATTGTAGGCCTATCTATTTCTATCATAGTAGACTTAGTAGGCCTAACGTTTACACAACGGGAAAGGGGGGGGGGGGGAATAGTACCAGAGCATTTTGCACCAATGATCTCCATTCTTACAAATGTAAACTCGACCCGGTGAAAGGTCAAATTGTGTCTGTCGCAAACAACGTGGAAAAAATATAAACGTGAGACATTCTATTTCAAAATCAAAAACAGATATTAGTTTTATTCCCAAATAATTAAGGACATCTTTCCATTTATTATTTCTGCTTAGCTTTTCTTAGGCCCAGGAAAAGAATTGCCATATTAATTTAATATTCCAAAGATAACTTGAGTTTAGAGCTCAGACTTGTTGTAGTCTACAGCGGTTGTTAAAAATTTGACTGTGTAAGGAAACGCCCCCAAAAATTTGTAGTATAAGCCTTATCTTATAATTTATAATAAGGTCTAGTAATTAATGGCCTAAGGCCTAAAGCAACAACAAAAAAATTAAATTGAAATGCTAAGGTACAGTAATTATAATTATAGATATAGATCTATATACTATATAGTATATAGCCCTAAATACTAAATTAACAACTTCTCTACTTTTTTCTTCTTATTGTAGGTTTTGCTTTTTTTTTTTTTTTAAGCCATAGCCATGATAAGCCCACTTTATTATTCACTGGAATGATTTTTTTAATTACTTTACTAGATCTCTACATCTCTACTTACTCTAGTTAACTCTAGGCCTACGCCTGGCCTAAACTAATTATTTAATTAAATTAATAATTATGCCCTAATTATAATTAGTAGGCCCTAGGCCTAAAGTTAAAATTAGTAATTAGTGAAATTTCCAAATTACTCATAATGACTCATTAATAAATTATAATGTGTAGGGCCTAGGGGGCCTATATAATAATATTTACTAGTACACATTAGGCCCATTAGGCCTACCAATTTCCTAATTAATTAAGTTAATTCATGAATTTAATTATGTTGTTAATCAATTCTGAATTTCTTGTTTATTAATTAATAATTAATTTAATATGTATAGTATAATAGGGCAGTATTGGTCTAATAATATTAGTAGTTTATTATTATTTATTAATTAAATATAGCACTTGAAACATACTTTCTGGGGATGGGGCCACATACATTTTCACTGGTTAAATTAGTATATATTTTCTATTTAAATAAAAAATTCTATTTTATTCAGGAAAGGGGGGGGGGGGGAATGAATGGACAGACATAGGTGAATGTGCTTTTGGAGGGTGTGAAAGGGGCCCAAAGAGATACCAGAAAGACAATGATTATGAAAGAGCAAATTAATAACTACTAACTTTAGTCATGGAAAATAAAGGTGGCCTGGAATTGTGTTGACGACGCAATCAATAACTTCAACTGTAGTAAAAAAAAAACAGTTAAAATCTACTTCATCTCTTCATTTCTGTGTTCTTCACTTCTGTGTTTTACAACATATTACATAATGCATTGTTTACTAATAACAGGTGAAAGGCGATCACAGTGGTTGAAAAAAAAAGGACAGAGTCTTTCAGAGCATCACTCTTCCACACCAACGCTAGATGCTCTAGTAGCAGGGATCACTATGGCATCATATGAAAGATTTGACAAAAACGGAGTGGGGAAATCATCAGGGGAGACAAATAACAGGTTATCAATGAAGGGAGACGATAAAGGAGATGGAGGAGTTAGGGACAGTCAGATTGAAATCGAAACTGAGGGCAAAGTCACCATTTTTGGTGTTGAAAATAAAGAATATGTATCTGACCCTGCTGGTGATCCTTATGCTCCTAAAACTAATATAGAGTAAGTAAACAACAATGCATTAGCTTATCAGTGATGCTAAAATATGTATAGTTCAATTTACTTTACTTTAAAACATCGTGATTTGCAGTTCAAATACCTCTTGTGATTCTTAGCAATAAGAAAATCTTCTACAATTGTGTGTATAATTTTATTGTCAAAAACATTATAAATATTTGTATTGTCTTATTATAACAAAGTATAGTTTTATTCAGAAATAAAGTGAACTGTAGGCCTACTTATGCATGGTGGTAACAGGCATAAACTAATTTATTTTTACATGTACTTTTCAGGAAAGTCCAAATGCAAGTTCAGCGGATAGTTGATAATTTTTTCTTCCGAGCATTTACTGTGATCGTGATCCTCCTTGATTTCACCTTAGTTATTGTAGATCTGTCTTTGTACGACTGTGCTAACAATGATCAGCCCCTTGAAATTATTTCACACATCATCCTGATTTACTTTCTCATTGAAATTTGTGCTAGAATATTTGTGCAAGGGTAAGATTGATTTTTGTAATACCTTATATTTTTTTATAATGAGCTCAATTACAGGATTAATATTAGTCTGCATGTGTGCATTCTATATAATTATAATAAAGAATATACTCTATTTAAAAAAACATATTAGTATCATAAGATTATTAGGGTTACTTGTAGGTTAATGACTTATTTTTCACTGATATAATTTTAATTATTTAAAAATGTTTTACTAAAATAATCTAGTTTGTTACAAGAATTTTTTTGTTTTTGAATAGCTTTTATACAACTATGTATTTCTAATTTCCAGGCGCAGGTTTTTCTACAACTTTTTGGATATTTTAGATTTTGGGGTGGTTCTTGTCTCCTTCATTGTGGATGTTGTCTTCTTAGCAATATCATCTTCAGATTGCTCTGAATCTGGAAGAATGGCACAGTATGTAACAATTTTGTTTCAGTTTGTTAAACAATTTATATAAGAAAAAAAACAACACAACAAACATAAATAAAAAGGAATTATTAGAAACTTCATAAATGAAACAATACTTTTAAATACTTTATTAGTGTAATAATTGTTTAAAACCAGTCTTAAAAAGTGTCATTTTAAAAATATTGTGGGTGTCAACATAATAGAGCTACAGGGAGTGCACCCAGCTCTGATGGGTAACTAAGTCATGTCAGGGAAAGTAAGGGAAGCTGGGCTTAGTGCTGAACACACTATTCCAGAAACAGGTTAACTCTACTTCACTTATCCCATGGACCACCAGGCTTGAAATGGCAACTTCAATTTTACACAGAGAGTAGTCTTCTATATCTGATACATGTTCAAATTTCAGGAACAAATCTGAAACAAATGAAGTTAGAACATTTCTCTTGATTTATTTCTTCCAGGCTTGTGGTCATTGGCAGAGTTGTGCGGGCCATCAGGGTTGTACGTATTGTTTACATTATGATAGTCCAGCACAGGCAGGTTGCCAGGGCAACAAGGCAAATGGTGTCGCAGAACAAAAGACGCTACCAAAAAGATGGCTTTGACCTTGACCTCTGCTACATTACAGGTTTATTGAAAAATACATGTTCAAAGATCATATAAAGTAGCTGTTTTTAAGAGTCAGCATAGTTGGTCACTAGAGCTTATGGTTGCTAAACCAAAAAGTCCCAGGTTCAAACCCCTCTGTTCAAACCCTCGGGCAGATGATGCTTGTTAGCTGGGGACAGCAACCCTCTAGGAGCAACTCCAAAATCAAACAACTGCTGCCTTGTAGTTGTTTCTTGTAATGACCAATTTCTTTTTGGAAGCATATCCAAAAAGAAAAGCAGGCTGAAGTTGTAGTCAATAGCCTATAAGGCGCATAAAAGGTTGGAGGAAATCAGGTCCAAAATTATAATTAAAAACAAAGAAGAAACCATTTGTACCAACATTTTACAATATTTGAATGGGTTAATTTAAATTTGTTAATAATAGTGCTGTAAATGTAACATTTTTTAAACAACTGTAAACTTATGTATAATAATTTTTATTCTACAGAAAGGGTAATTGCTATGTCATTCCCATCTAAGGGCATGATGGCGCTCTATCGTAATCCTGTTGCTGTGAGTGATGGTCTAGTTTTTTACATAAATCTATCATTAGTTTTATAATTGTTTACATTATAAACAATCTCAGTTTTGGATTAGTTGAGCTACAGTATTAACAGTTGTTTTTTTTTTGTTTCCACAGGAAGTTGCTCGGTTCTTTAATACTAAACACAAAGAGCATTACAGAATTTATAATTTATGTAGTAAGTAGGAAATATTTCTTGATGATTATTTAAACTGCAATATTTCTTTAACTGAAAATGTAGTTTTATATTTCTACCACTTTGTATATTAATATCACAAGAACTTTCTTCTTTTGCTAGTTAAAGGCTTCATTATTTTAGTATGCAACTAAATTGTGGGGCTCCACTAAGGGAATAGTGAATAGTGACACATTTTTTTTATGCTGTACCATGTTGAGTGCCTTTCAACCAACATTTTGTTAATCTAGTGATCACTTGGCTACCCCATTGCCTTCTGAACTGAGCGTTATATGTATGCTAATTTTTTTTTAATACTCTCCCATTTGAACAAGTGTTAATTGTTTTTATTTTTCTGTTAGGTGAGCGTGATTATGATGAGAATCTGTTTTTCAATAATGTTGAAAGAATTTATATTGATGACCACAATGTGCCTAAGCTGAGGTGAGCTGTTTTTTAATTACTTTGGGTACCTTTTTTTTAAATTTATATTCTCCTCTTTAAAAGATTAAATTTGATTATTGTTTCAAAATAATGTTTGATATTACTTTTTAATGTCATACAAGGCACTTCTTTCTTTTAGAAATATGCTTAAGGGCATGGGCGGGTGATGAGTACCAACTTTCTTATTTCCGAGTCTAAAGATGTAATACTTGGCTAATAGTTATAACTCAAAGAGTTAAGCATAAAAATATTTTTTTTAATTTTTTAAATCTTGCGTTGCCATGGTGACGGCGGCCATATTGGATTTTATTGACGATTTTTAAATGGAAATAACTCAAAAATGGTTTGTACAAATTTCATGAAAACTTAATATAGTCTGCAGACACATGTGTTTAAGACTTCTGATAGATTACATTTTCAAAAAAGAAAATGGTTTTTTTTTTACTTTTTTTTTTCAAACATCACTGTAAAAATTTCATTATTTCGTCCAATTTTTTCACTATTTCAACAACAAAAATTTTTTTTTTACAAAAATTCCAAAAGTGTTCTATCAGTTTTATTTGAACATATATAAAGAGTAACTGGAGCAAATTTAGTTCAGTTCTGATAATTATTAACAAAGTTATTTCAACAATTGTACAAAAAAACATCAAACTGAGAAAAACGCAAAAAACGAACAAAAAGTTGCAAAAAATAAAAATTTATCGCTGTATGTCACTAAAATCGACCACATTTATAGCCTGAAGTTTGGTGCTGCTGAATATATTCCTTCTGAGCTTGTTCGGCTGTTAGTTTTATTTTTTTCTGGCGCTCTTTGTTTTACCTAGAGTTGTAGTAAAGCTGTTGTCATGGCGTCTTTTTTCGCGTCCTTCACTGAGTCTTCGACTATGGTTTCCTTCTTTTGACAGCAATGCCATAGCATGCCTGGGCCCAAAATTGAATTATGCTATCGCAGAAACAGAAGTATATTTTGCATGGTCTCATGTCTAAAGCCAATTATGATAAGACGATGTCTTTGTTTATTGTGAAAGGCCTTGTTCTGGATTCTTTTGCAGTTGTATACTTACGGTTTACAACATTTTTATTACTGCCACACCATGCTTGAAGCAAACCCTTTACACTTTTTTCATCAATAGTAGCCACTACATCACATGTATTGATAACATCAAGAAGCAAATCACAGTCGACAATAATTCTGCATGGCTGTGGTTTACAATTAGTACTACCAGTACGAGATGTAACAGTGCTTTCTTCTGTCTGTAAAAACTGTGTCTTACATTGCCGCAGTTTCTTAGTAAATGTGCATATTACATCTGCACCAGTGCTTGTCTGAATAGTGCTAGATTGAGTGGAGGTAGCTGCAATCAGTTGCATTCGGACGTGCCCTAGCTTTAGTAAATTAGTTAGATGTGTGTAGTGTATCTATTTTTAGCGAGTGTTTTGTTCTACGCATTATCGAAAGAGAAACAAATTAAATCGCCTCACTGCTTATGATAATTCACACAAACTAATCTAAACTGTTAATAGTATATTTAATTGAAATAATTATATGTTAAAATAATGTAAGTATTTTACAGAAGCTTAGAGAAACAAAACTAGATCAAACTTAGCAACGCGCTGAAACTAAGGGAATGTTTACTTACGAAGCGAAACGACCAATCGCTAACTAGCTTCCGCCGCCGTATGCCAATGAAAAAATTGAGGTCAAAAATTTGCATACCGGAAAAACCCGACTGAGTAAAATAAACAACTTTATGACGTAGAAAAATAATCACATTAAAATAGGTATTTTGATTGGTCATTTAATTTTAGAACAAATAAAGAAAGGAGGTCACGGCCTTTCCATTGATATGAAACACATTAGGTTTCCGCGAAGCCTAATAGTACTTTTCTAGGTCGAAAAATTGCTATTTTTACTAAAAAATTAAACAAAAGACCCTGTACACACTACATTGAACCCGGTTTTTCATAATTAAATACTAATTTTAGGGTCATAACAATGTCATTTTTAGATTCAACGATGGTTATTCTGTATAGATCAAGTAAAAGTGGGAAATCGATGATTTAGTGGATTTATGACGAAAAGTACACCCGCCCATGCCCTTAAGTTAAAAAAAAAATATTTGGTTGTACTTTTTAATGACATGCAATGAAAGAATTGTTATAATTAGCTGCTAATGCTAAAAAATTCAGAGATATGTTAGAATTCCTAATAGTAAATTAAAATTTTCTTCTGAGAAATGTTATTCTTGGCATTAAATTTAACTAGGCCTATATGGTAAGATCATATTTTTTTTTCAAAGAAATATAAAATTTTGCTAACTTTTTTTCTAAAAATGGTTACATTTCCTATTATTAAATTATATTTTTTTCAGATAATTAGATTTCCTGACATTAAATTTAGCTTTGTTTTCTTAAAACCATTACATTTTTCTCATTTTATAACCAAATTTAAATTATTTCCAGATAAATGTTAGATTTCCTTACATTAAATTTAACTTTTTTTTTCTTAAAACTAGATCTATAACATTTCTGTCATTTCATAAGATAAAATTTAAATTATTTCCAGAGAAATGTTAGATTTCACTGCCAATGCAAGAGAGTGGATGGCTGCTGACAAGCAAAATGTGATTGCTATTCATTGTAAGGGAGGCAAAGGTCGTACAGGCACTATTATCTGTACATGGCTAATTGACTGTGGACTGCTGGAAAGTGCACAGGTAAGATTAACATGGGAATCATGAAAAAAATGTATGATTTCTAAAAAATAATTTTAAAGAGCACCAACCATTTAAATAAGCGTAGCTATTGTGACTTTTTTACTTTCTCGTATATACGTAGTATAGAGAAAGTATTGTAATCGTGCAAAAAAAAAAAATCGAGATTTTTACAAATCTCGACGTTTTACACCTCACTGATACGGAAAAACATAATTTTGCAATCTTGTCCGTATGTCTGTGTGTGTCTGTGTGTCCGTGTGTAAACACGATAACTTGAGTACCGTTACAGCTAGGCTGGTGAAATTTCATATATAAGTATTTTATCAAAATCGTAGATCCGTATCAACTTTTGAGCGAATTCCGATAACCGGAAGTGGTACTTTTTCTACTTTGAATTTTTCAAAAGCCTATAACTTGAGTACTATTTCAGATAGATAAATGAAATTTGATATGTACGTAAAAGAGCTAATTCTCTACCTTCTGTCAAATTTTGAGTAATTTCCGTTGACCGGAAGTACTTATTTACGCTATTTCCGATTTCTCAAAAAACGCATGTAAATTTATAAAGTACTAATAATATTGCGCACTATTATGCGCTTTTTTATTTAGCGTTCACTTGGTGTGCATTTCTTTTTTCTATGAGATTATATTCTATTTTAAGAAATGTGAGTATTTAAAATGGATTAAAAATCATGTCTAGAAGTCTATATCCCGAGTTGCCATCCCCTGTAGTGTTATATTAGAATATTCGAGAAAGTTTAGGGGAGATCACTCCCGGTTTATTTACAATAGCTTTTCTCAATTGCAAACGGTATAGATCTATGTAGTTCTGATGGCTACTAGCATGTTAATGGCTACTAGCATATCTGGAAAGTTATGGACTTAATAACATTTTTTAATAAACTACTTAATAAACAAATAAAATAAATTATAGTTTTCTATGAGTTGGGTTCGAGTCTATATGACGACACAGAGTCCACCCAGCTCTGATGGGAAAGTAAAGGCGGATGGGAAAAGTATACTGACCACACTATCTCGTTAGAGGTCATTGTTACAGGTGTACTATACTTAACCTGACCTTAAGGTTTGAAAAGGGTACTTAACTCACTTTATTTAGAATTTGCATTGTTTTCACAGGAAAGTCTGGAGTATTTTGGTGATAGAAGAACTGACCTAAGCAAGGGAAGTACCTTCCAAGGTGTAGAAACACCTAGCCAGGTAAGTTAAACCTAATCTATTTTTGTTTTAGGGTCAAAATTTATATTTACATTTACATTATTTTCTTGTGTTTTAAAGTTAACCCTTATACTTTTAACAAGAAAAAAAATCAACACAGTTTTATTCCAGGTAAAAAAGTGGTTACTTGTTTTGTAGCCATTTCAAATTGATAATTTTTCTATAGGTAAAACCCTGAGGATTTTAATCTATTAGCCTTGACTACAAGCTTAATTATTGTTACAAATAATTTTATAAATAGTATTAAAGTAGAGTTTTTCTTTTGACCTAGTGATCCATTGAGCAGATGTAGTAGAGTTCATATGTTTCTTGACTTTGGCTTATTAAGGGATGGTGTGGTCAGCACTATCCCCAGTGACTTTACTTTCACCAAAGTAAGTCAGGTACCCATCAGAGCTGGGCAACTCAGGGACATCTTACAGTCACAAATCCGAACTTGAAACCTTTGTGCTTGCAACCAAACTCTCTAACATTCGACCATATTATAATTATTGTTAGTAAATGATTTCTAATTATTGTAATTATTTATCATTTACCAATCAGAGCCGATATGTGGAATATTATGAAAAACTGAAAAACGAATACAACCGACAACTACCCCCTAAAAAAGTTTTGAAGTTGAATTCAATTAAGATTACAGGAATAAATTGTAAGTAGAGGATGGAAGTTTTTTTTTTCAACAAAAATTTTGTAACTCAAGCTTGGTTTTGATGCTGCACCTGCATTTGTTGCTGGAAAGTCACCTTATCTCAAAACCATAGGTCACCCACAACTGAACCACCCCACCTTCCTTCCCACACCCATATATAAACCAGGTGTCGTGTGCCAGAGACAGGAGCTAGACACAAATAACAGATGAAGCAGAGTTATTCTGTTTTAATGACCTCGGCATACAAGTATTATAAAGTAAAAAATAATTTGACCAATATGTAGACCTACCCTTCTGATGTATTCTAACATTTTCATTCACTGCAGCCGTTGGTAATGGTGATGGCAGTGACCTATTCATGGAACTGCGCCAGGATGGATTGTTAATTTTTGAATGCAATTTAGGCACTCAATCAAACTGTGAGGTAAAAATACTTTTTTCTCTGTCCTGTTTACTAGCATCTTTATGTCTGATCTTAATTATAAAAGTAATCAAGTAAAGTTTTTGTAAATGGTTGTGTCATTTGCTAGTGAGAGCCAACAGTGTTTCTATGGAAATAATTTGAAAACAAAGCTCTCTCATCAAAGTAGATGTTTATGCAAGTACTAGCTGCATACCCGTGCTCCGCCATTTTATCATTTGAATCATTCTATTCCTTCAGTGCACTGCGCTGTGCATATGCCCGTGCTTCGCCACAGTGTGGATATGGATATTACCTCAGAGTTTACAGCGCTGCGCGCAGATGGGGCTCTCCGCTTAGGGGTGGATATTTTTTTAGTGCAGCTCAAAATTTACCGCGTTGCGCGCGGGTGCGAGTCCCCGCATTGGGGCGAATATTCAGTTTTTACCGTGCTGCGCGCATATGGGGGTCCCCACATTAGGGCGGATATTCCTTCAGCGCACTGTGCTGCGCGCAGGTGTCTGTAGAACTTTGGTGCGAACATGGAATTCACGAAAATGAAGCTATGGTAAAAAGAAATTGAGTGCCGACGCTCTCACGAATGTCCGTCCAGATATCTCTCCTCCCCGAACTCGGTCGTCATCTAGACCGCCGCCAAACTACACGTTTACCTGGGTGTCCGCGCCTATAGCGATGACGGACTGACACACTACCTCGCGGCTTATATTATAGATAAGTCACTGATGAGAAGTTGTCAAAAAACATGTTTTTACAGATGCTTGCATTAACATAAATATTGGAAAACATATATTAACTAGACAAACTAAAATATATCTATCAAAAAGTTAATGATAGATTTTGTAAAAATTTCTTACTATGATTTTTTTATATAATGTACCCAAAAATTACTACTTTTATAAAGTCTGTAGTAGATTTAGTAAAAGTAGAATTCTTTTATTAAATGAATTATATTTTTAACTTGATATGTTTTTGATAGGTGTTGAAGTATACAGATAGTGACAGCATTGTCACCAACTTGAAAAACTGCCCCAACATCAATGGTGATATCAAGATCATGTTTAAGACTAACAGCGTAAGTTTGTATATTTTTTATGTAAGCTTAGGATCGTCATGTGTATAGAAGAAATTATTGTTGGTTAAGACTAATAGCGAAAGTTTGTATATTTTTATGTAAACTTAAAATTTTTATATGTATAGAAGAAATTATTGTTGGTTAAGACTAATAGCGTAAGTTTGTATATTTTTGTATAAAATTAGAGTTGTTACATTTATAAGAAACAATTTTTGTTGGGCTCTGTGATTGTCATCATAATACTTAATAAAAGCTAATTAATCATACTGCAATAAAATGGTAATACACTACTGTTGTAATTTACACTAATTTGAAATTTTAATTTTAACATTTCACTTGTGATCATATCTTAATAAAGTTTTTTACAAACAAAGCCACAAGTTGTAAAAAAAAAAAGTTAGATGGTATTTACATTCAATGTTAACTCTAAAACTACTCTAACTTGAACTGTTCTAAAATGTTTAACCTAAGGTTTTTTTTAAAACAGAAAAAGATACCCATAGGTTATGACAAGTGTCCATTCTACTTTTGGTTCTACACCTCATTCATAGAAGATAACCGGTATGTATACAAATATATAACTGGTGGAGTGGTAAGCACAGATATATAACTGGTGCAGTGGTAAGCACAAATATATAACTGGTGCATTGGTAAACACAAATATATAACTGGTTTAGTGGTAAGCACAAATATATAATTATATATATAAATATATAATATATATTGTAATTTTTGTTCTACAAGATGCACCTTGCTATAAAACTCATCAGTAGTTTTAAGGAGGAAAATTTTTTAAAACATAAATATAATACATTAGCTCTATACCTTACAGTAGATTTTTACACATTCTTTGGAGGTATATGTTTGAAAAAAGTGGTATACAAATTCATATCTAAAACTATTTTTGTTTTAAATTATAAAAAGCTATAATATTGTACTAGACTTTGTAATACACTGAATTTAAGCAGTTGAAACGCCAAATTTTTTTCTTCAAAATATTACATCTTTCTCACATTTAACTCATATTCCATTATTTCTACATTTTCTTTGTATAATTTCTGTTTATTTTCTGTCCCAGTGTCATTATTTTAACATTAAATTATTTTTTTAGATTGTACATTCCAAGGGATGAACTGGACAATCCACATAAGAGTAAAACTCATAATGTTTTCCGTGAAAACTTTGGAGTGGAGCTGAATTTTGAAAATGCTGAAGAATGAAGCAGTTTGATATCTAGTTAAGCAAATCTAAACCACTGTCATTTCTTTTCAAATCTTTTAAAGTCTTGTCATTTATACCATCGCACAATTACTTTGTAAAGAACAGACAGCACATTTTTCAGCCTCTTTGAGAGCTGAATTTTGAAAATGCTGAAGAAAGAAGCAGTTTGATATCTAGTAAAGCAATTCTAAACCACTGTCATTTTTTTCAAAGCTTTTAAAGTCATGTCATTTATACCATCGCACAATTACTTTCTAAAGAACAGACAGCACATTTTTCAGCCTCTTTGGTATTAATTTGAATTATACATGTTTTCTTTAATTTGTGTAATTTTATTTTTGATGAAAACTTACAATTTGTAATTTTCCTTTTTTTTTTACTATAATTTTTTTGTGTTTTTAATTTTATACAGTGTGTGCTTTGGCCAGTAATTCTGTACATAATAATAGGAAAATGGAACAAATATACTAGTCTTCATTAAATGAATATTCATATTTAATGCACTGTTGTTTGTATATCCTGAAATCATTCAGTGTTTAGAAAATATTTTTGAAGAAAGATCAACATTAATGTTTTGAAACTTTTCATGAGGATGGACAATAATGCTTAGAAAGTATTATTACAGAAAGATGAACATTATTAAATTTTAGGAAATTTTTTTAAGAAGTTGGACATTGGCACTTACAAAGTAATTTTGAAGAAAAATGGACAATCATGTCATTATTCTACAATTTTTTTTCTAATAATAATAATCATACAGTTTTCATAAGTCCCACTATGAAATTTAGCTTTTTACTGTAAATATTCAATAGAAGAGCTCAATTTTTTCTCTAACCATAAGTCCTATAAAATAGTCCCCCTGTCCATTAAGTCAGTCACATGCGTTATCTTTTCTTAAAAATGAGTCACGTTAAATCTACCAGGTCTTAAAAAGGTTTTTACAGTTAGTTAGTCCCATAATATTTCCTATATAATTCATGACTAAATGAAATGTTTGCTATGCAAATCATTTTGTGTTCAATTAAGCCACATACAGCTGAATCAAATAAAAAACAAAGATTAAACAGAAGTAAAAGTAGTAGCTGAACTTGCAATAATTTAACTCTTGCAGTAGGCCATCAATTCTATTGTGTGTAAAATTTTATATAAGTTCTGAACAATTTTCTGTATTTAAAAATAAAAGTATTAAATGTATTTTAAACTTAAGAATGCTTTCAAAACTGGTCAGATACACTCTCGTTATACTGTATTCAATGTGTGCAATAGTTTTTTGTAATCAGTAATATCCGGTTTTACAAAATTTGTTTTTTATATTTTTAAAAAATGTAAACATTATTTTTACAGAATGCTTGTATTTATGTTTTTTTTTCCACTTAATAATCTTCTGAGCATTCCTGTATATCAGTATCAGGTAAATGAAATAGTTTAACATTGTGATAAAAATTATCAAACTTGTTTTGTGATATTTTTGAAGAGTATTTAAATCTGAAAGATTGCTTTTTCCTTTCATTTGGTATAACGTGTAGTTAAAAGTTAAACAAGATTTTAAAAAAAAAGTATTTAAATTTAATTTGAAAGCAGGTTTTGGTTTATTATATGCCAGTTTTTACAATAATGAAAACAAGTAATGCAATAATTCCAATGTTATTTTTTCTTCAAACTGCACTCAATGTGGTCACTTTTAAATCCTTGTCACAATGCAGGTTGTTTTGAGTCTTGAAGGAAAGTTGCAAGTGTTGCCAAATAAGTGACATGAAACTTTTCAAAGGCTGTCAAAGAGCTTTAATAACATCACAGATTGTCTTGATAATTTGTGGCAGTAATAGTTTCTCAGAAAAAAATTTCACAAAATTTTAAAAACATTTTATCTGATCCCTGCAAAATGATTAAATGTGCATGCTGTTTTCTGATTTAATAATTTGTTTTGTAATATATATAACTTATTCAACAGATGATACTATGCACAATTACATATTATTAATGACGTTTGTAATATCATAATTTACCATCATTTTTCTCAATTGTGTATATAACTTGTGTATTTTTCCCCATTGTGATTGTGTTTCAAATACACTAATATATTTTTTATTACATCACAAAATATTCTGGTCCAAAATTTCCCCATTTTATTGTTTGTGTTGAAAGCATTTAAGAATAATAATACTCTATAAGCATGTTCAATTAATTTTTTTGGTTGCAATATTTGTTTTCTTTTTTTAAAGTTAAGCTCTTCATAAGCTAGATAATGGTTGTTTAATAATTTTACTTTTTAAAACAACATTTTTTTGTTTTAAAACTTTCGACCTAATGTTAAATGCACATTTTACACCCCTGATACTTATTTTCTCTGAGAAGTTTAAATTCACCTTAAACTTTACAGTTTTGTTTATGGATTGGGTTAACACATTAAGATTACTTTTTTTTATTGAGGTTTCAGATAAAGATTATACATGCCTGCAATGTTTCTTTTAAAATGTGGTTTTAAAGAATGATTTTTTTTTACATGATTTTTTTTTAAAAAATGGTTTCCTTTTGCTTTTTTAAGTATATTTTATGTGGTTGATTTATAATATAATTATTGCCTGGTTGAGAGAATAAAGTACGGTGAAAATAACCCTTCTGCTCCCGTAGTTGGTTACAACATTCACAATTGTGGAGATACCTCTGTTTTACTTTTTGTATGTTGTATTTACTTCAACATAACTCACATAAGACTGACATCAATAACTGCAACAGTAATAATAAGAATGACAGTTTATCACAGTAACAATAGTATAACTGATTCATGTTTTAAAAATAATTGTTTTTTTTGGGACCTTTTACTACCATTTTGAATGCCATGGGACATTTAATACCTTTAACATAATATGTGCAAAAATGATATAATTGTTACAGTAATAATTAGAATGATAATTTATAAATGTGATAATAGTATAACTGATACATGTTTTAGAAGTGATTGTTATTTGGGAGCTTTTACTACGATTTTGATTGCCATGGGATAACTGAGCAAATTAATATTGTAGTATAGATGTTGAGCTTAAATTATCAGAGAAATTGAACTTTGGATGTAATTTTAGTCTTAAATGAAATAATGTATTATCTGACAGCTGTTTCTGAGAGGTTACTTAGTACTGAAAGGGTTAAAGAAATGTATTTATTCCAGACTTCTACCATAAGTTTAATTTTTCACCTAAACACTATCCTTGCGGCACCTAGAGTTATCCCTCATGTCTTGCTGAATGTTTCTAAATTGTGTTGAATTAAATCCTTGAGCTGCATTCTGATTGGTCAATAATAAGCATTTTTCTTTTTTTTTTTTTAAAGAAACTATTCTCTGCTTTCTATTTTCAATTTTACAGTCAAAGTTTTATTACAAAATATAAATAAGTTATAGTAGAGGTTGATTATTTTGTTGGTATACACAGAAAGGTATTTTTTTTAATACTTGATTGCTAATTGTAAACTAATTTTAAAAAGATAAATATTTGAATATAATTAATACCTCACAGTAATGTGATGAAATACATTCTTTTCATGCTGTTCTTTTAATGAGGCCTAAAAACCTTTTTTTTTTTTTTTTTTTTTTTTTTTTCTCAAAAAGAAGCTAATGTAGAAAGTTTATAGTTCATTTTATATATCACCTTTTGAACATCTTTTTTTAATTATATCAATTTTAAATAAAAATTTAAAAATGTGTCAAAAACAGAATATTTTAAAGTAATAATTCTGTACACATATTCTTTGGATTATAAAAAAAAAACAGAAACATGATTTAAAAAAAACAACCAAATGATTCTGGAGACCAAACAAATCAAAACAAAAAAAACAAGAAAAACAACTCTTGGATGTTGTTCACACAATTTATTTGCTACCCTCCCTTCATTTGTCTTCCCACGTTTTAATTCAACTGTGTATGGTATTCATTTTGTGGAATATTTTGATGTAAATAAATATTTATTTCGCCTTTACTTTGTAATTTTTTTTGTCTAAATAATACATTTTGGGAAAAACAATAACATAGAATAAAATAGTTACGGAGAATATAGATCAAATTTTTTGAATGAAGTAATTATACAATAATTCTAATTAGCTAATTTAAAAAAGTTAAAGTACCCTTTCGAACCTGATAGTCATGGTGCACGTGAAGTAGGGTGCACCTGTTACTGTGACCCCGGCATATGAAGGGAAAGTGTGCCCATCACTATACTCAGTCGCCGAGTCAGGTACCCATCTGAGCTGGGTGGACTCAAGGACTCTAACGGGCTCGAGACCCGGATTCGAACTCGGGACTTTGGGGTGGCGTACACTTTGCTATTCGACCACGCCGCCCTCAATTTGCTAAATTGAGTTATAAATACTTAGACCTTTTCTCCTTAGGTCTTTTAAATTTCAAAGGCGTTACAAGGGGGTGTAGATTGCACTGGATGGCAGTACCAAGTGGGCCAAAGTTTACTTTACATTCGCACGCGATGCCATGTTAGCAGTAGCCTTTGACTTCTTTTATAACCGCCACGTGGGGAAGGGGGGGGGAGGCGTTAGAGAGGGTGGGCAGCTTTATCTATGTAAGCCCTACAGCCCTTGCTGACTTTTTTCTCCCAGGGGGGGGGGGGGGGACTTGGAATTGGAGGGGGGGGGGCGGACTAAAAAATAATTTCCAGGTGGGGGGGGGGCGGTCACTGTTAAAAATATATTCTATGTAAATTCCATTTCGCTCGCCCCCCCCCCTCCCGAAGAGATGCCTGAAAGTAACTCTGGTCGGCCGACTTTTTGTTCACCTGAGGGCTCCAGTCTGACGCCATCCTCGCGATGTGGTTCTCTGGGCGTGTCCCATCCATCCCCCATTTGCAGGCTTTAGTACCCCTGTCGATAGGCTGTTGCTTGTTTAGGGTTGGAGTAAAATCTTTAAGTCAGCAATACAACGGTTTCAATCTAAATTGGGTTGATAAACGTAACGTTGTTGCTCTCTTTTACTTAGGTTAATTTAGTATGGTAAGGATAGTTATTGTAAGAAATACTATTTGATAGCATGAGCCTGTTTTAATTTTATTTTTAGCAAGTAAAATATGAGGGAAAACACTAAAAAAAAAAATAACAAAAATTAAAATTCAAGAAAGCGTTTCCGGATGAAATAAATTTAAACCCTGGCATGAATCTGGCATTAATTGACAAAAAATAAATAATGAAACAATGGACGCGATGGATGATCAATTATAAACCCCGCATAAAATCAATGTATCGATTTTGTTCACTTCATTATTTCTCCTTGGATCGAACGGTGATGATCGAACCTCGAGTATCTCATGAATATTTATTGATCAAAGATGCACCGATTGATCTAAAGCTGCGTGATTAATCTTAAGTTGCAACGATCAATCCACAGATGCAACGATTGATGAACAGGTGCGACGACTAATCTGTATGTGCAAAGATTGATCTGTATGTGCAAAGATTGATCTGTATGTGCAAAGATTGATATGTATGTGCAAAGATTGATCTGTATTTGCAAAGATTGTTCTGTATGTGCAAAGATTGATCTGTAGGGATGCAAAGATTGATCCGTATGTGCAAAGATTGATCTATTTGTGCAAAGATTGATATGTATGTGCAAAGATTGACCTGTTTGTGCAAAGATTGATCTGTACGTGCCAAAATTGATCTGTATGTGCAAAGATTGATCTGTAGGGATGCAAAGATTTATCTGTATGTGGAAAGATTTATCTGTATGTGCAAAGATTTATCTGTATGTGCAAAGATGTATCTGTATGTGCAAAGATTGATCTGTATGTGCAAAGATTTATCTGTATGTGCAAAGATTGATCTGTATGTGCAAAGATTGATATGTATGTGCAAAGATTTATCTGTATGTGCAAAAATTGATCTGTATGTGCAAAGATTGATATGTATGTGCAAAGATTGATCTGTATTTGCAAAGATTGTTCTGTATGTGCAAAGATTGATCTGTAGGGATGCAAAGATTGATCCGTATGTGCAAAGATTGATCTATTTGTGCAAAGATTGATATGTATGTGCAAAGATTGACCTGTTTGTGCAAAGATTGATCTGTACGTGCCAAGATTGATCTGTATGTGCAAAGATTGATCTGTAGGGATGCAAAGATTTATCTGTATGTGGAAAGATGTATCTGTATGTGCAAAGATTTATCTGTATGTGCAAAGATTTATCTGTATGTGCAAAGATTGATCTGTATGTGCAAAGATTTATCTGTATGTGCAAAGATTGATCTGTATGTGCAAAGATTGATATGTATGTGCAAAGATTTATCTGTATGTGCAAAAATTGATCTGTATGTGCAAAGATTGATCTGTATGTGCAAAGATTGATTTGTATGTGCGAAGATTGATGTAGGCCTACATATTGTATAATGGTATATCTAAGGGTTCTAATCTGATTTGGTTGATCAATCTAGAAACTGTTCGTTTAAATTTAAATTAGAATCATGGTTAGAATGGTTCAGCGTGCAAAGACTGCGAGTTAGGTCTGATAACCAAACTACGGAGAGACAACACCGTTTTCTTGAATTCAGAAGTTTTAAATTTTTATATTTAAGTTATAATAAGTTTCAATTATATCAGCTTTGATATTGACCAGCACCTGGCGTGTCACATTAGTGAGCCTTTCGCAGCAGGGGCGGATGCTGAAATTTTTTGGGGGCCCTCATATATATATATATATATATATATATATATATATATATATATATATATATATACGTGGAACATTCATGAATATTATCAGGATATTTAAATAGTAGCGCTAGATCGCGTTAACTAACATAAGCTCAATTAGTCTAGCGACGCTTTTGTATAACATGTTTAGGTAAGGAAACTTCTATTTAAAGACACCTGTGTATTTATGTTAGCCTACACATGGTAGTGTATTCAGATATGTAACCTATTATTATTTGTTTCCATTTGTTTTAGGGCTATAGGCCGTGTATGGATTTGACGTTAATGAATTGGCCGTATACGAATTAGCAGCATATGCCATAAAGCCAGGATCTTTCAACAAAAGCGTCATTGATCGTTTGTGTGTTATCTCCCAGGGTCAGCCCTTTTAAGCAGTACACTTCTTGACTTGGTCCTCTTTGCTCCTTATGGAACATAGGGCCTCAACCATTTCCTTCCATTTCATCCAATCCCCTGCTATTAATTTTGTCAACTCCCAAGACATCCCTGTTGGCTTCAGTTCTTAAAGGGACTCCGCCTCCAGGTCTGTCTTGGGCGCCATCTTTTCCGCTTTCCCTGGGTGTTCCACTCAAGCGGCGTGTGTCCCACCCAGCGCCATTTCCTCCTTCTTATTTGCACACCACTCTTGCACATCATTTACCTGCTTCCGTCTATTGTTACTGGGGCCTCCTGGTTAATGTTAATTCTCATCACTTGTCTTTTCTTTGTTGATCTTGGGACCTACACGCTGAGAGATTGCTCATAGTTATAGTACATCAACTTTTTATTGCATGTCTTGTAGCCCAGGGGTCGGCAACCTGCGGCTCGCGAGCCGCATGCGGCTCTTTTGATGTCAAAGTGCGGCTCTCGGGTTCAATGCTCAAATATTAATCATTAAATTATTTCAATTTCTATACTCATTAAAAAAAATAGTATACTGCAGAAAATACTTTAAACAGGATAAAAACACTCAGCACAGAACAGTGAGAATAGGTGGAGTAGAGAGTATACGGTTTACGGACAGCTGATTGTCGCTTGGTATGGGGCATGTCAGACGGCAAGCCTTTTACAACACTCTGTAATGAAAGATATAATAATAAATTTAAACAATAAAACCTCCCTATTCCAAAGTACTTCCTATTAAATATTGTTGATATTGACACACTTCATTCAATTGTGTATGTAATATCTGGCGTTATTGTTTTGAGGTAAATATTTTCATAGTTATGATGTACTGCATATTCTGTTTGTTTCACGCTGTTATGATAAGTATTATATTATAAACTATATGTGTTCAGCTTTTTAAATGTATTGTCTGTTTTGAATATTCATCATGTCAAATTATTTTACACGTGGAAGTTTCTGAAAATACCCTTGTTGGACCGCTGGACAATCATTCTTATTCTTGTACCTTCGAACGTCCATAGGTACAAGAACATTTTATTTCTTTCGTATACTTATTTATTTTGTTACAGTGACATTCAGTAAACATGGTATAGAAAGACAAAAAATACTTCTAAGGATGATTTAAATTTTTAAAAAAGCGATTCTGCCTGGAGGTACAATACTTTTCTATACGCTTTAACATTTAATAAAAGGTTTTTTTTAGCAATATACAAAATCAACTATTTACTTAATGATTTATTAACGCAGTTTTAGATGCTCAATAACATTTTAAAACTCTTTATTTTAACCCCGCCACCAGTATGTCATCTGATAGAAAGAAGAGACGAATTGAAGAAGAAAATAGAGAATTTAATCAGGATTGGACCGAGTCGTTTGCGTTCATATGCAACACATATGGTCTGCCGACTTGTCTCATTTGCCAAGAAAAACTTGCGCACAATAAAAAGTCAAATTTGGAGAGACACTTCACTACAAAACATGCCCGATTCGCTGTTCAATATCCAACCAGTGAGGCACGGAAAAAAGCTGTCAAAGAGCTTCAAAAACAAAAACAACAGTCCAGTTCTATGCTCAACTACTGGACGCAATCTTCAAGTAATGCCAATCTGGCAAGCTTCGCGATATCATTACAAATTGCAAAAAAGAGGGAAACCATTCACAGATGGTGATTACGTCAAAGATTGTTTCATAGTTGGAGCTGAAGAACTGTTTCGTGATTTCAAAATCAAAACCGAAATCATGAAGAAAATCAAAGATTTGCCTTTGTCTGCTAAAACAGTACAAGATAGAACTTCTAAAATGTCTTCAAATATAACACACATGCATGTGGAAAACATTCAGTCGGCTTCTGCTACATCACTTGCTATGGATGAGTCTTGCGACATAAGAGACACGGCACACGTTACCCTATTCGCCAGGTATATTTCGTCCCAAGGTCCTAAAGAAGAACTGCTAGGTTTGCTGCCGCTCTCAGGGCAAACTCGTGGAGAAGACATAGCAGATGCTGTGCAAAACTGCCTGGAGGACTATGACATCGATATAAATAAAATAGTTTCCATAGCAACAGATGAAGCCAGAATTATGACCGGAATACATAACGGTGTTACAACAATTCTTCGGCAGAAAATAAACCGCGAAATTTTAACGTTTCACTGTATAGTTCATCAAGAGGCGCTTTGTGCCCGAACATTTCCGACAGAAATGGTTGAGGTCATGGACTTGGTTATTAAGATCAGTAACAGCATTTTGGCTAAAGCTCTCTACCATCGCAAGTCTAAGGAGTTTCTTGAAGAATTAGAAAGCCATTATTCTGACCTACTTATGTACAATAAAGTTCTTTGGCTTTCCAAGGGTAACGTATTGAAACGTTTTGCTTCTTGTTTGAGTGAAATAGAAACATTCTTGAATGAAAAAGGCATTGTCCATCCATAATTAAAAGAAGACACATGGCTGCAAATATTTTACTTCATGGTGGATATCACAAAGAAATTAAACGAGCTAAATGTAAAACTCCAAGGGAAGGGAAACCCCGCATATGCTTTGCTTGAAGAAGTGCTTTGTTTCGAAAACAAATTAGTTGTCTTTGTCGAAGATATGGAGAGCGGCAAATTACTTTATTTCGAAAATCTTAAGCAATATCGCGATGAAAATAATGCAACTATTGACACCAAATACTTCAGCGTTACCATAAGCAAAATGAAGGATGGATTCGCTGAAAGATTTGAGCAATTCAAAACGAGCCCAAGTACACTGGCTTTCATTGTATATCCTTTCAACACAAATACAAATGAGATCAACATTGAACCATTTAAAATTGATGCTGGTTTGCCTCAAATGCAACTCCTAGATTTGAGAACCAAACATTTGTGGAGTGATAAGTTTACAGAACTCAAGAGCAAGTTGGAAGAGTTGGAGGTCCAGAAAAGCATGCATGTTAAGCTGCACAAGTGGACATCTCTTAAAGAAATGCCGCGAGTTGAGACACTGGTATTTGAAGCATGGTATAGTCTGTTAGAATCTTTCAGTGAGGTAAAAAAGTTGGCATTTGGAGTGCTGACGATCTTCGGGTCCACATATTCGTGCGAGCAAGCGTTCTCTTGCATGAATATAATCAAAATAAAAGTAAGAAGCCAACTTACAAATACAAATCTGGAGGCGTGCTTGAAACTGAAAACAACAAGTTATGAGCCAGATTTAACCAAACTTTCAAAAGTCATGCAAGGCCAATGCTCCCATTGATGTAATTATTGTAAAATATTATTCTAAAATTACAGTTACATTCTTTGATTACTAATTATTTTATTCTATCACAGCTAGCTAATATACTTTGCTTTGTATGTACTTATAAGAATAAAGATTGTTTCGCATTTAAAGCTATTTCTTTATTTTAAATAAAAAATCAAATGCATATACCTAACATTAATTAATCAAATACCATAACATTGTAATAAAAAGTATGGCGGCTCTTTAAAACCTGGAAAATTTTGACTTTTGGCTCTTCAGTCCCAAAAGGTTGCCGACCCCTGTTGTAGCCTGTGCTACTTCAGTGGGTGATATTTAACATCACACCCTACCCATTGAGGCAAAGTAACAGTATAAGAAAAATTTGTTAAACCACAGATTTTTCAAGTAGTGAGGAATTATATTATATAAGATTATTTTTACTTAATAAGCAACGTTATAAAATAAAAATAAAGTGTTGTCGTTTAAAAGTTTGTAAGCATTTTAAATGTAGTTTAAATAATCGATAAATTCATGTATTTTTTTCTTTACAAATAATTTCTGCTTTTAACAACTTACAAAAATAATACTTTTAACAGGTTTTTTCGTGAATTATGTTTTCTTTTGTTGAATCACAGATTTTTGTTATATGTTGTCTCCCTTATCACATGGAAAAAAAAAATCGCGTTTAACCTTTAATGAGTTGTAACATGAAGGGATGAAATGGAGTTGTCATTTTGTTATGTTGTGTTATATTGCGTATATTGGTGGTCAAGAGACACAGAGGCGTAGCGACCCTTCCCGGCGCCAGGGGACAAACTTTCGATTTGCATCCCCCTCCCTCGAACTTTTCATTTGCACCCCCCCCACCCTCGAACTTTTCATTTGCACCCCCCCCCCTCAAACTTTCAATTTGGCGCCCCCTTAAGGTCGGCGCCCGGGGACATATGTCCCCCCTCTCCCCCCTCGCTACGCCTCTGAAGAGACATATAATATAATACTTTGTGCAGGGTTTTCAATTATTTTTTTTCAAAACTTTCCACCACTCGTTTTCTAATTAAAGTTGCATTCTTCCGAAAAATATATTTTGTGAGCATTTACACTCATTATTAATCTTCTTCTTCTTCGTTCTTAATTATTAGTGTTGAAGGGGATCGAGATTTATTTGCCAGTGGGTTTGAACTCGAGACTGTTCGAATTTATCAACCATGACCTTTTTGCCGACTCGACCACGCCTCCAACACAATTAAGCGTTACGTGTTAACTGATTATGCGCCATTGAGGCCATTGACTCCGATTTCAGCCTGCTTTTCTTTTTGGATTTGCTTCCATAGCCTTTGTCCAACCAAGAACAAACTACAATTTACATTATTAATGAAATCGGTTAAAACAAAGTTTTTGTAGTTCAATTATTTGTGGCTTAGTTTACTTAAGCGTTGGTCTGCTTGAACAATTTTAAAAGACAGCTGATCGCCCGAGTTTCTTTCAGGCATCTCTTCATCTTCTTGACGCCCCCCCCCCCTCTCTCCCCCATGAACGTCTACCGCCCACCTTAACCCCCCCTCCCACTCCGAACGAAATAGAATTTATATTAAAAATATATACTTTTACCATGCCCCCCCCCCCCCCTGAAAGAAACACTGCTGATCGCTAATGTGACGCATCAGGTTCTGTGATTTTTTTAGCGCAATTTCCATACGGACAATTGCGATTATTAACTCGCCAAGGATGGATGTGTGTCCGATGTGTGTCCGATGTGTGTCCGCAGCTTTAAGTGGTATCTCCTCCTCAACGAAGCAATATCGAGGACTAGTTCCAAAAGCAAATATGTTTAGCAAGTTCCGAGGATGATTGTGGGCCAAAAAAATTCCCGGAATTCCTTCCTGGATTTCCCGGAAAAGCCAAAAACTCGGAAAAAATGCAGTTTTTGGCCCATATCTCGGCAACCAGACCACTTAGCGACTTGAAACATTTACCAATCGATTCCTGCCATAATTTAGAACAATATTGCCGAAGAAAGTTTTCAAAAATATCCTTTCGTTCGGTCACAAAAAATTAATTAAGGAAATTGCGCTTAAATTGTCACTAGACTTTTTATTAACTTGTTTTTTAAAGCGTTGGCCGTTACTTAAAACTAATTGGAATCCATGTCGTCTAACCACAGCCACCGCCCTTACAGTAATACCAAGAAGGCGCATGTTCTGTAAACCAGTGCCCCCCCCCCCCTCACCTACCACCTCTTCTCATCTGATTCCAGAGTTTCAGACTATCGTTTTTTAACAGGTGTATGTTAAGTGCAAACTTGATTCGACACATTTTCTATAATTAATAGATCGCGATAATTAATACAGAAATTCGCGCCCATTTTTTTTTTCTGCCTGAATGAAACGTAACAGCAGTGTACAATAATTCTGATCAAGACCTTTTTGAAGTTTTCAGTCAATTAGGCAAACGGACGCCGTGAATGGTATTATCCGCCCCTTTTCAAAACATGAAGCCAAAAAAAACTCGCATGCGGCGTGAATAGTTTTTTAATCGCTTGGTACAAAGGGTAAAATAAAAGCAATATTCCGGGTTTATAATTGGCGTTAAATTCTGTTCCCCCTTGCAGTGGCGGAACTAGAAAAAAATGGCCACCCCGCAAAAAAAAAAAATTTGGGCCCCCCAATTATAAGATCATGTCATGTGTGTGAGTGCATTAGTTGGTTTGTTTTGAAAACCTCTGTTTTATTTTATGTCTGCTGTAATACTTCCTTTCATCGTGACGGTCAAAAGAATATGAAACATGTAAGCTTTGTATGTGTCATGGTTTCTCGTGTTGTTTATTTATATATTTTTTTGTATTTATATTATTAATTTTAAATACATTTCCTTTTTTGTACTATGTCATTCTTTGGTATGTATTTTTGTTAAATAATAATTAAAAGAAGTAATTGATTTTTGATTTTTTTAGTACACATCTATTAAAAGGAGCTAATGATCACCTCTGTTTCACACTTTTAAAAAGGGAAATAAGTCATGAAATGGTCTCTCGCGCAAAGGATTTTTTTTTTCAACAGAATTTTGCCGACAACAGCGTATGTTTGATTGTAGGAGAAGGAGGACTCGGCTTTCACAATGATTTAAAAATAAAGGGATAAAGAATATACAAGAGCGTGGGATGGTGTCTACAAAATAAAGATAACCCAACCGCAGCTATAGTATTCTTTAAAAAAAAAACAACATCAAGTCAAAAATGCAAGAAAATTATTTTCTTTTTAACTATAAAAAAAAAATTGATTATGGTCCGCCGTGGGCCCATATACGCGCCCCCCCCCCCCCATTGCGGGGTCTGGCGGCACTGTAGTTCCGCCCCTGCCCCCTCGTTGCCGCACTCGATGACCATATCGGCGTTGAAGTTTCGACAAAAGTACCTCGCTGGCGTTGAAAGCAGTCAGGCCTCAAGGCTATAGTGGAGGAATTTCAATGGAAGGCGTTTTCCCATATGGCGCGAATGTGTCACCTGCGGTCCAAACCATTTAGCAGACGTTAACTCGTCCAGTGCGTAAAAGCCGCGCCGCGGGTGTTGGGGCATAGGGGAAATAAAAAACACGGCGTTGCGTAAGGAACGGATTAAAAATATAGTTTATTGATGGAAATGAGGGGAATATGTCTCGATGTTAACGCGAAAAATACATAAGCAATATTTTAATATTTATCCTGTGTAAATCCTTGATTTAAATAATAAAGTAATATCAATATTGTATGAACGAAATGTGTTTAATATTCAGATTAATTATGTAAATATTGGGAATGGAATTTACATAACGAACGTTTTAATGAAGTTCTCTTTATTTTTTTATGTGATGCGAATCTGACATAAAGTCGTAGTGTTGTGTGTATGTGTGTGGGTGTAGGTGTGGGGGGGGGGGGGTGTAGAGAGAGCGATAGGGCAATATTGAATCAAGTTTTGGGTAGTCAATATGTAAATCGTATCACTGAAGCTAAGCGGTTTCTGTGGTTGAACCAGGGGGCTTTGATATCGGGGTTGATTAAACATAGCAAAAAAAAATAATTAAAAAGACTTTGCCCAATTAGAGAGTTTGAGCTTAAACATTGTAGACTCAGTGTATCACCAGGGTGGGGGTGGGATGGTTAGATCAGGGTGGGATGAGGGGGGGGGGGGCAAGATCGAACACTACAAGACTTGGCACTTGCTAGGGTTAATAGACCTCACAGAAAGACTACTGGAGGAGTAGAGAAAACATTGAGGCTCCCAGGCAGGCAGTAGGGGGAGAGATGGAAATAGAGGACAAAACCGTTCGTCATAAATATACAACCATACGTCAGAAATATACAACCATCCCTTCATAAATATACAACCATCTGTCATAAACTTACAACCATCTGTATATACAACCATACGTCAGAAATATACAACCAATCCCATAACCTTACATCATACACCCATCTTCATCAAATAAAATACAACCATCTGTATATACAACCATCCTTCATAAATATACAACCATCCGTCATAAATATACAAACCATCCGTCAGAAATATACTTACAACCATCCATATACAACCAACCTTCCTATAAATATACAACCATCCTTCAAAATATACAACCATCCGTTCATAAATATAACAGCCATCCTTCATAAACTTACAACCATCTGTCATAAACTTACAACCATCTGTCTATACAACCATCCTTCATAAATATACAACAACCATCCGTCATAAATATACAACCATCTGTCATAAATATACAACCATCCGT